CTTGTCTTCTTAATGACTTTTTGCTCTCTTCATGCATGATATTCTTGATGTCATCCCACAACTCTTCTGGTCTTTGGTCTTTAGTGTTTAATTCATCAAATCTGTTCTTCAGATGACCTCTAAATTTAGTATAATTTAGTATAAGGTTTGTTTAATGTAAAATTGATGATCTGCTCTGTAAACGTTCACTCAGTTCACAATAAAATATTTTTTTTCACAATAAAAGATTTTTAAAACAGCTAAACATAAACTAAAATACTCACATGAAAATGTAGGTAAAGTTCTTCTCCAATGTCATCAGCTTTGTCATTTAGAACTTCTTGCAAATTCCTAATGAAAATTTTGTTTTAAAAAAATTATATACATTGGTCTCACAAAATTTCAAGAGTAATAAAAGTGTATTGAAATATATATATACACATAATGTAATGTAAATTTCCTCTCCTCCACGTTCCTAGTCCCTCTTCTTAGAGCTAACCAGTGTTCACAGTTTGAGTTGTTGGATCCCAGCTATCATATAGACACTACCGGGCTTGAGGTAATACAGAAAATGTGTCCAGTCATTCTTTCACAGTGATGATTTGCCCTCCAGGAAACATTTAACAAAGACTGGTGACTTCTTGGTATGTCATGAGTAGAAGGAAGGTTGCAACTGACATTTAGTGGAAGTGTTGCTAAAGATCCTACAATGCACAGATAGTCCCCTACTACAAAGAACTGTCCAGTCCAAATAATTTACATTGTTGAAGTTCATAAATTCTGCTCTAAACTGTCAGGGCATAAAGTGGAAATTTAGGCCATTCATTCTTCTATCAATAGTACATATAGGAACAGAGTCTTATTTTCCAATCTACTGCCAACGCTATATTTTGTAAAATACTTTTTAACAAGTCTCAACCTGTAAGCAGAAAACGACATCTCATTTACATTTTTTTCAGTTCTAGTGAGGCTGAACCTATTTTCCTTTTTTATTAGCTATATATGAGGGTGGAGTCCTGGTGTGGTACGGTAAGATAAATACTGGACTGCAAAGTCAGTTTGAACTGAAAGGTCGGTGGTTCAAACCCACTAGCCATGCTACTTGAAAACCCTCCACCAGGTCACTATGAGTCAGAAATGACTCGAAGGCATTTGACAACAACAATATATGAGGGTAAGTCAAAAAGTATTGCTATAAAATCATTGTTGTTGTTGTTAAGTGCCATGAAGTTGATTCCAATCCATAACGACCCTGTATAGGGTTTCCTAGGAGTGGCTGGTGAGCTTGAACCACAGACTTTGTGGTTCAAACCGACTTTGTTGTCCAGCACATTAGCCCACAGTGCCACATCAGGAATCATAGACGCCTTTATTAAACAAAAATATGAAAATGTGAAGCTCTTGTTTCTTGACATCTCTTCTGTATTTATTCAATTCTGAAAGTAGTGTTTTCATCTCTCTAATCATTCCCAGGAGAATTCTATGCTCTTCCATTCATACTAGGCCAAAATGGCAGTTTGGGTATCCTCAAAGGACTCAAATCGTATTCCTTTGAAATATTCTTTGAGTTTTGGACACACAAAGAAGGCAGAAGAGGCAAGATCAAGGCTGTAGGGTGGATAGAGTAAGGTGTCCAAAGGACATTCTCACAGGACAGCCCTGCTACCCTTGAATGAGTGAGTGCATTTGTGATGGGGGAAAAGATCCCTGGATATAAATTTCCTGGTCTTTTTTCTCACCACTATGGTTTTCCATTAAGGAGCTCTGGTAACGTAGTAGTTACGAATCAGGCTGCGAACCACAAGATCAGCAGTTCGAAACTACCAGCTGTTCAGCGGGAGAAAGATGAGACTTTCTTCTCCCGTAAAGATTTAAGGCCTCGGAAACCCTGTACAGGGCTGCTATGAATCGGAACTGACTCCATTGGATATAACCACGATAGTTTTCCATTATCTTAAAATTTCTTCATAATAAGTCCCTGCGATCATCCTGCACACTTTGAAAAAAATCTATCAAGATTACACTTTTGGAATCCTAAAAGAATGTTGCCATAATCTTATGATCTGACCTCTCTTAAATTTAACTGGCCCAGAAGCCATTGTTTTTATTGGACTTTTCTTTTGAAGCCCTGTAAAAAGACTAAGAGAGCTGTTTTACTGAGAGAACCTGTCTGCAGACATCCAGTAACTATATAGAAATGTTTAAACATGTTTTGTTTTTAATAAACTTGTGCATGTATAAACTGGAACCCTAGGATCAATTCTTAATTTACACTTGTCTATTTCTGTGTGTAATGACACACATATATTTATACACCAAGGATCTTTTGTCTATCCTATATGTTGCCAGTATTTTTCTTACAGCATGTTGTTGTTGTTGTTGTTAGGTGCCATCAAGTCAGTACCGACTCATAGCTACTCTATGCACAGCAGAACAAAACACTGCCCAATGTTGGGCCAACCTCACTATTGTTGCCACACTTGAGCCCATTGATGCTGCCACTTTGCCAATACATCTCGCTGGGAGTCTTCTTCTTTGTCTCTGACCCTCCACCTTACCAAACATGATATCCTTCTCCAGCGACTGGTCCCTCCTGACAATATGCTCAAAATATGAGAGACAAAGTTAGGCCATCCCGGCCTCCAAGGAACACTCTGGCTGCACTTCTTCCAACACAGATCTGTTGGTTCTTTTGGCTGCCCATGGCACTTTCAATATTCTCCTCCAACACCATAACGATAAATCATCAATTCTTCTACAGTCTTTCTTATTCACTTTCCAGCTTTCCCATGCATCTGAGGTAACTGAAAATACCATGGCTTGGGTCAGGCACACCTTAATCTTCAAGCTGACATCTTTGCTCTTCAACACTTTAAAAAGGTCTTGTGCAGCAGATTTGCCTAATGCAATACATCGTTTGATTTCTTGACTGCTCCTTCCATGAGTGTTGATGGTTGATCCAAGAAGAATGAAGTCCTTGACAACTTCAATCTTTTCTCCATTGATAAGAATGTTGTTTATTGGGCCAGTGGTGAGGATTTTTGTTTTCTTTGCATTCAGATGTAATCCATACCAAAGGATGTGCTCTTTGATCTTCATCAGTAAATATTTTAAGTCTTATTCACTTTCAGCAAGCAAGATTATATCATCTGCATATCACAGGTTGTTAATGAGTCTTCCTCCAATCCTGATGCCATGTTTTTCTTCATAGAACCTAGCTTCTCAGATTATTTGCTCACCATACAGGTTGAATAAGTATGGTGAAAGAATATAACCCTGTCTCACACCTTTCTTAATTTTAAACCATTCAGTGTTCCCAGGTTCTCTTCTTTTTGGTCCATGTCATGTACAGATTTCTCATGAGCACAATTAAGTGTTCAAGAATACTCATACTTTGCAATGTTGTCTATAACTTGTCATGATCCACACAATTGAAAGATTTTGCATAGTCAATAAAGCACAGGTAAACATCTTTCTGATATTCTCTGCTTTTAGCCAAGATCCATCGGACATCAGTAATGATGTCCCTTGTTCCACAGCCTCTTCTGAATCCAGCTTGAACCTCTAGAAGTGCTCTGTCAGTGTATGCTTGTAGCCATTTCTGTATACTTTTAGTAAAACTTTACTCACATAGGCTATCAAAGATATTGCTCAATGACTTCCACATTCTGTTGGGTCACCTCTCTTTGGAATATGGATCTCTTCCAATCAGTCAGCCAGATAGTTGTCTAGTGTGCCTTTTAGCTTATAACAAATATTTTTTCAACTCTTAAGAAATAAGTTCTGACTCACTGAGATATTTAAGTTAAAATATGTTGCTAGTGTTGTTAGGTGCTGTAGCATCAGATCTGACACACAGAGCCCCTGTATAGAGTTTCTGAGGAGTACCTGGTGGGTTTGAGCCACCGACCTTGTGGTTAGTAGTCCACCAGTGCTTATCCTACAGCATCACACTAGGACCCTAAGCTAACTATAGCAAGGTTGATTCTCAGTAAAGATATTATATACTGTCCAAAGCAACTGTTTTCACGTAGATAATTAGAAGGGACCTGGTCAAAGCACTGTTTATTATACCAATGACAATTGCTTTTGAGCAGGATTGTGTTCCAGAATGTTCACAATGGCTAATTTTTCAGAAGTAAACCACCAGGCATTTCCTTAAAGGTGTCTCTGCATGGATTCAAATCACTAGCCTTTCAGTTAGCAGATGAACATACTAACTGTTTGCAGTTCTGATGTGGCGCTCTGGGTTAATGTGCTGGACTGCAAGGTCTGTTTGAACTGCAAGGTTGATGGTTCAAGCTTACCAGCCACTCCTTGGAAACCCTATACAGGGTCGCTATGAGTCAGAACTGACTCCACGGCATTTAACAACAACAACCATCCAAAGACTCCCTGTTTATATTGTTGTTGTTGTTGTTGTTATGTGTCATTGAGTCGGTTCCAACCTATAACGACCCTGTACAGGGTTTCCAAGGCTGTAAATCTTTACAGGAGTAGAAAGCCTGATCTTTCTCCCATGGAACAGCTAGTAGTTTCTAACTGCTGACCTTGCAGTTTGAAGCCCGATTCGTAACCACTACACTACCTTATATTACGGGTTAATAATTAGAGAAGCATTAGGCTTTCCTTCATTTTTGAAGGTCTAATCCTGGTGTCCTGGTGTGGAGTCCTTATGTGGTGCTATGGGTTAATGCTCCAGACTGCAAAGCCATTTGAACTGCAAGGTCGGTGGTTCAAGATCACCAACTGCTCCTTGGAAACTCTATACAGGATCACTATGAGTTGGAACTGATTCAACGACACTTAACAAAAGCAACACCATTCCTGGCATTACACTATAGGATCAACAGTGGACTTCAAACCACAAGCTCAGCAGTTCAAACCCACCAGCTACTCCTCAGAAAACCTGTACAGGGTCACTATTGGTTGCAATGAACTCAATGCCACTTAACAACAACATTCTATTATAGTAGACCTGGTGTGGCACTGTAAGATAAGCACTGAATCTCAGTATCGATTCAAAACCACCAGCTGCTCCTTGGAAATCCTATACAAGGTGGCTATGAGTCAGAACCAACTCAAAGTCACTTAGCAATCTATCCTAGTGAGAGAACGATGCAGCTTTCTGCTCCCACAAAGATTTACAGCCTCAGAAATGCTACACAAGGTCACAATGAGTTGGAACGGACTTAACTGCATTTAACAACAGTCTTTTATAAGTCATACTACAAATTCAAGTTCATTTAAATATTCATACATATACTCATTGAAATTTAAAAATCTAGTCTATATGTATGCTTGTAAAATGTCATTTATTGACGCTTAAACAACTTAGACTTACTAGATATAGTTTAAGAAAAATAATTATATTTACTCACTTTCCCAAAAGAGGACTGAGTTCTTTTAAATCTTCCAGTGATGGTTTTTGGTCCAAAAGTTTCTTAAACAGAGCCAGTGGGAAAGGAAGGTTGGTAACATTTAAATTGAATAAGGACAGGCCACACAATATTCCAAAAAGGTAATATGTCCTCTTCTCTAATTTAGGCTGAAAGAGGAAGGGAAAAAATGCTTAATGTATTATACATAATCAACAACAGATAGACATAATTAGATTAGTAATATTTTGTATGCCCTTTTATAAGAGTTACAAATCAGAAACAAATGAACTCTAGGAAAATAAAAATGTGAGGTTATTTTATAGGCTATAATACAATTTAAATTTCGTCTATGGTTTTAAATACAATGAATGGTTCTGAACATTAAGTAAATGAACTGCTTCTCCTTTCTTCCTATTCTGTCTAAATCAAGAAGCTCTACTGAAACCTGTTCATCATGAGTGAACTGCTCATATTGAAAATACTGCTGCCATAGCTTCCAGCATCACAGTGACACAAAAGTCACCACAGTACGACAAACTGACAGGCGAGTGGCAAGTAAGTATGCCCATAGAGAGGAGCTAAATATGTGATTATTTTTACAATTATTTGTGCTGTGTAACTAATAAAGAAATAAAGATAAGTCTTTTATTACTTTAAGAAGGAAAATGTTGCAAAAAAAAAGAAAAGAAAGAAAGAAAATGTTGCTATTTGGGGAATCTTTATTTTAAAAGCCCTGGTTTCACTGTAGGATAAGCACAGGACTGCTAACCCCAAAGGAGGCCTAATGGCATAGCAGGTTACAAGTTAGACTGCTAAACGCAAGGACAGCAGTTCAAATTCATCAGGCTTCTGCTCCTGTAAAGACTTAACAGCCTTAAAAACCTTATACAGGGTCACTATGAGTCCAATTAGACTTGATGGCTGTGGATTTTGTTTTGTTTTATTTGATTTGATTGGCAGTTATTGCTCAAATTCAATTTTCTTCTCTCCTAATTTGAAATATCATAGATAGGTGCTTCTCAAAATTTAGGAAACAAACAAAATATCCATAAATAGAAGACTGGGTAAACAAATGATGGCATATACATATAACAATAAATTGCTAATTACCGTTGTCTGGGTTCCAACTCAAGGCAACCCTAGCTAAGCATTGCCCGATCTATGCAATAGAAATACTATTCAGCAATAAAAAGAAATGAACTGTGGATTCATGTCACAACATGGATGAATTTCAGAATAGTTATGCTGAGTGAAAGAGAACAAATACAAAAGACAGCATTATGATTCAGTCTATCAGATTTTAGGAAATTCAAACTAAGCTCTGATGATATAGAGCAAATCAGAGGTAGCCTGGGCATGGGGGAAGGGGGAGGAAGGATTAGAAAGAGACAATGGATATATTCATTATCTTGATTTGGTGATATCTCTACATCACCAGTGGGTGAATGCGCCAGACTGAAAAGTCATTTGAACTACAACGTTGGTGGTTCAAGCTCACAAGCTACTCCTCGGAAACCCTATACAGGGTCGCTATGGGTCAGAACTGATTTGACGGCACTTCACAACAACAACAACAATATATCACCAATATCTACATATTGGTGTAAATATATCAAGGGGCCCTGGTGGTGCAGTGTGTTAAGTGTTAGGCTGCTAATGAAAAGGTTGGCGATTCAATCCCAAGAGTTCCACTAGAAAAAAATGAGACAATTTGTTTCCATAAAAATTTACAGTCTTGAAAACACTGTGGAGCAGGTCTACTCTGTCCTATAGATCAGAATCAACTCAACAGCAGTGGTTTTTTGGGAGGAGGAGGTAGTGGAATACATCAACTTATGAAATTGTATACTTTAAACTTTTAGCATATGTAAATATGCACGTCAATTACAGTTCAATAAAGTCATTTGAGAAATGTAATGTCCATCCAAATTACCTGGGGATATTATTCAAGATAGGTCTGATTCATCCGATCTGGGGTGTGGCCTGAGATTCTTAATTTCTAATATGTCCCAGGCGATGCTGTACTTGCTGGTCTGTGGACCATAGTTTGAGTAGCATGGTTCTAGTCAAGATACTAGCCTAAAGCTACTGATTTTCTATAGTTTGAATGTTACAGTTTCTGGAGCTCTTTTTCTGTTCTGAAAAAACACTAGAAAAGAAATGAAAACTTACTTTGACAGGAAACCACATGTAGGAGGAGCTCTCTTCAGGATACATGAACATCCCATATTCTGGTCTAGTCATTTCTTCAAAAACACAGTGGAAGAACTCTGACCTGACTCCTTTAGATTGATAATCTATTTCTTTAATAAATTCAATCTGAGGAATGAGAACACACATCAAGACCAGATTTAAAGCACAGTGCCTTGATCTCCCAAACATGTAAGTGTTAAGATCTGCCAAGCAAAAGCTCAGCCTAGATCAGTTGATCCTGTGCTGAGCCGCACATAAGTGAAATATAAATGATCTCTATTTTAAGTTTTGGAATGAGTCATTGTGTAGCATTTTTAAAGCCATAGGTAACTCATAGCAATTGTGCAATTAAACATCCCATAGCCGTTCTCTGAAGGATAAGGGGTATTTCTGGAAACCATAAGGCCAATAACCATATCCGCAAATGCAGGCTCTTATAAAAAGGTCTTTGCTACATGACATAAATGCTTCCTTCCCTCCCCATGCCCCACATCATTCAAATTTCCAGTGAGACTTTTTACTGTACCACTAATTCTTTACATAGGTCAGTGACATCAGCTTTGCTTAACTGACGCAAAGTATCTTCAACCAGGTGGCTCCGTCTGACTCTAAGTACAAACTTAGGAGGTGAAGGAAATTCATTCTTTTTTTGCATTTCCATTTGAAGCAAATGATGGTATGCTAGCTCTTTTGACCACTAAAAAAGGAATATATTATTTGATTACTTCTTTTGAACTCACCTCCCAGAAGTATTTGTATTTCAAATAAACATTTCAATATAGCATACATATATGTCTTCCATTACTATATATACTCATGTTGTAATTATTTAAGAAAATACTATTTACATTATATTAAATATATAGAAATTGAGAGATGGTAGGATCAGTGAAATATGACACCTGGAAATTGGGTATGTGGGATCAGTTACCATGAAGAAATAGCTAAGTAATTGAAGGCTATCTCTGATCATTAATTATAGTTAACATGACCCTTAAAGATAATACTGGCATGTAACATGCTCAGGCATCCACCCCTCATCAATCTTACAATCTTACAAAAGACTGTCTCAGAAAAGATCCATTTTTGTTTCAAATAACTATGATTTATCCATAGAATCTGTAAGGTAATCCCCTAAAAATATTGCACAGGTGGCCTCATTTTGTATCTATATTGATACTAACTAGCCAGAGCAAATAACTCAAGTAACTGGATTATATAAGGAACATGGCATCAAGATTGTTGAAAGACTCATTAACAACCTGCAATGTGCAGATGATACAACCTTGCTTCCTGAACTCAAAAAGGAATTAGAATACTTACTGATGAAGATCAAAGACCATACCTTCAGTATGGATTGCAATTAAATGTAAAGAAAACAAAATCCTCATAACTGGACCAATAAATAACATCATGATAAATGGAGAAAAGATTGAAGTTGTGCAGAACTTCATTTTGCTTGAAGCCACAATCAACACTCATGGAAGCAGCAGTCAAGAAGTCAAATGACATAATTGCCTTAGGCCAATCTGCTCCACACAAAGTGTTCAAGAGCAAAGGTGTCAGTTTGAGGACTAAGGTGCACCTGCCTCAAGCCACAGTATTCTCAATAGCCTCATGTGCATATAAAAGTTAAATAGTGAATAAGGAAAACTGTACAAAAATGGATACATTTGAATTATGGTGTTGGAGAAGAGTATTAAAAGTATCATGAACTGACAAAAGAACAAACCAATCTGTCTTGAAAGAGTACAGTTAGCATGTTCCTTAGAAGTGAGGATGGTGGGACTTGGTTTCTTATACTTTGGATATGTTATCAGGAGGGACTAGTCCCTGGAGAAAAACACAATGCTTGATAAAGTCGAGGGTCACTGAAAAAGAGGATGATCCCCAATGAGACGGATTGGCATAGTGGCAGTAGCAACTGGCTCAAATGTAACAACAACTGTGAAGATGGCAAAGAACTAGGCAATATTTTGTTCTACTGTGCACAGGCGTAGGATCATTATTATTCAGAACCAGTTCCATGGCACTTAACAGCCACAAATTGATGTCAGTCACCCCTCTCAGGATTAGGAGGGCTTCAAAAAGTTTGTGGAATTTTTCCACTATCTTTTTATTCCAATAGTCCACAAACTTTTTCAGGCCTTCTCGTATCTCTCTTTAACTTTTCTGAATTCTCAACATTCCTCCCCCATGATCTTGATTGGCATCTTCTTGGAATGACAGCCTAATGTTGGACTTGATACTTTTGCCTTGAATTTAAAGCACTTCTCTAGGGCTTCTGGTATCTCATAAGGAAAATAACAGAGAATTTAAGATCACAAACCAATGAAATGTGCGCCAGGGTTGTATTCTTTCACCATACTTATTCAGTTTGTATGCTGAGAAAATAATTCGAGAAGTTGGATTATATGAAGAAAAATGTGGCATCAGGGTTGGAGGAAGACTAACAACCTATGTTATATAGATGATACAACCTTGCTAACTGAAAGTTAAGAGGACTTAAAATGCTTACTGATGAAGATCAAAGACCACATGGGTTTTTGATGGGTTGCACCTCAATGTAAAGAAAACAAAAATCTTCATCACTGGACCAGTAAATAACACCCAGATAAATAGAGAAAAGATTGAAGTTGTCGAAGACTACATTTTGCTTGGATCAACCATCAACACTCATGGAAGCAGCAGTCAAGAAATTAAACTACATATTACATTAGGCAAATCTGTTGTTCAAGACCTCTTTAAAGTGTTTAAGAGCAAAGATTTGAGGACTAAGGTGCACCTGACCCAAGCCATGGTGTTTTCAGTAACCTCATTTTCATGTGAAAGTTGGACAGTGAATAAGGAAGATGGTAGAAGAATTTATGTTTTTGAGTTATGGTAGTAGAGGAGAATATTGAAAGTACCATGGACTGCCAAAAGAACAAACCAATCTGTGTTGGAAGAAGTACAGCCAGAATGCTCCTTGGAAGCCAGGATGGCCAGACTCTGTCTCCCATACTTCTGACATATTATCAGGAGGGACCAGTCTCTGGAGAAGAATATCATGATTAGTAAAGTGGAGATAAGATAAAAAGAGGAAGACCCCCCAAAATGAATTGATACAGTGTCAGCAGCAATGGGTTCAAATGTAGCAACTATTGTGAGGTTGGCGCAGGATGGGGCAGTGTTTTGTTCTGTTGTGTATAGGGTCGCTATAAGTTGATACCAACTCGATGGTACCTAAAAACAACAACAATGAATACTATGGTGCTATAGGATAAGTGCAATATTGCAGGTCTGTTTGAATCACAATGTTAATGGTTCGAACTCACCAGCAGTTCCTCAGAAGCTCTTATACTGGGTCATTATGTGTCAAAACCAACTTGCTGACACTTGACAAACATGAGTAATGATGCTGAGCATCTTTTCATGTCCATATTGGCCATTTGAATATCTTCTCTGGTGAAATGTTTGTTCAAGTCCTTTGACCATATTTTTGTGCTTTGTTGTTAACTTGTAAAATAATTTTATATATTTTGGATATTAGAACTTTATTGGATATATTGTTTCTGAAAATTTTCTTGCAAACTCAAAAGCAAATTATTTTTTCACTTTTTTGGTAAGTCCTTTGATAAACAAAACTACTTAATTCTAGATGTTCTATTTATCTATTCTGTCTTATTGTTAGTGCTTTTATTGTCATATATGATAATCCATCATATATGAATGAGGTCCTCCAGTCAAGTCTCTGTATTTTCTTCTTAGAAATTTATTATTTTAACTTACACAGTTTGGTCTTCGATCCATTTGAATTGGTTTTTGTGTATGGTAGGAGTCATGGACTTGATTCATTCTTGCACATGTGGAAATTCAATTTACGCAGCACCATTTATTAAAGAGGTTCTTCTTTCCCCATTACATGTACTTAGCACCCTTATAAAAAATCAGTTGACCATAGATATATGGACTTATTCTTGGATGCACAATTCTACTCCATTGGTCTATATATTAGTTATTATTCTGTTGTTATTATAAGCCATCAAGTTGGTTCTGACTCATCGTAACCTTGTATTGAGTTCCCGAGGCTTGTAAATCCTTGCAGGAGCAGAATACTTCATGTCTCTCCCATGGAGCAGTTGGTGGGCTTGAATTGTCAACCTTGTGGTTAGTAGTCCAGTGTTTATCACTGAGCAGAGTCACTGAGCAGTTTAATTAAGGCAGTATATTTTGAAATCAGCCAATGTAAGTCCTCCTACTTTTTTTTCTTCAAAATTACTTTAAATATTAGGGGTCCGTTAGCCTTCCATATAAATTTGAGGATTGACTTTTCTGTTTCTGTAGAGAAGCCTGTTGGAATTTTGAAGGGGATTGCATTGAATTTATTTAATGCTTTGGTTCAGGCTTGATTTTAAACTTTGTTAGAGGGTATCTACATTGACCTTTATTTTAGGTCTATTGTTGTTCAGTGCTGTCGAGTTGGTTCCAACTCACATCTCTTCCGTGGAAGCATGGAAAAGCCAGAAAAACACTTTGGTGGGACAATCCCGGAGCTTTAAATTCACTATAAAGTAAGAGGAAATAGTTTCAGGGGCATACCGGAGGAGAAATCTAATGGAGCAAGAAGGAACACGGAGATTTGTGAATCAATCAGGATTCTGCCTCAGACCCGCTGTCTTGGCATACGTTTAAGGGCGGGGCAACAGCCAGCAGCTAGGGAGGGAAAACCACCCAGCAACTTAAGGAAAAAGAGATGTGATTTTTTTTTTTTTTTTACTTTTTTCCCTTCTTTTGCTATTTTTCCTTCAAGTCTTGTGTTCTGCCCTATTACAGGGTGTGGGTGCGCACTCCCAAACAGATCCAGTGTTGTGCATACTGGGAATAATTTTCCCACAGTGCAAAGCAGCTGAAATTCCCAGCTGAAAGTCCAAAGGCTAATCCTCCAATGGGTTCTTATGATGTCTGACTGTAGGATTTAGCCCAGAAGTTGGCTCTCCTACTTTTATTCCTGCCTTATCTAACAAAGGATAGCAAGTCTGGCCATACAGCTGAGACGTATTTGTACCCTGTAAAAGCCCAACATAAAAGGCAAGAGCCAACACCAACTACTATTATACAAGATCAGTGTGGTGTAAACCCAACATCTGTTAAAAACACACTAAAGGGAGAAGGATGCTGTGGATACCAAGATCCCTAACCAACCATTAGAAGAAAAGGTCTGAACAATCTTTCTTCCACTCATTCATCATTCTCTGTCTGCGTACCTCCATGGCAGTGACTAGAGGGGGTGTCTGTGTGAGCGGACACTCCCACCCACCCCGAAGGTTTCTTCTGTGCATGCACAATACTTAGCAAAGACTACTGGACTAATTTACTATGGCTTTTTGTTGTTGTTGCTTTTTTTTAAATTATTGCCTTTTGATCCTACTTTTTTCCTTGGGGTGGGAGCTTTCTCTCCCTACATTATCCAAGAATCTACAGCAATCTTGGCCATAGAGCCAAACTACAAGCATATCCTATAATAACCCACCATCCATGCAGAAGCCAATACCAGCTGCTACACATTACATAGATAGCCAACACATGCTAAGATTACTCGCAGTTCAGTAATAAGAGACATGAAAAGGAAAGCCTTTCTCCAGAACACATCCAGAAGGAGGTGCTCGGTAAGCATAATAATACAACAACATACATTCATTTAATCATTGAAAACAC